CCTGCCCTTTCCCGCAGCCAATGAATGGGAACCAGCTATAGAGACAGAGATGGAGAACCATGCAATGGCATGCATTGAGCCAATTCACTCAGCTCTCTCTCCTAGCAAAGCTCTCAACAGAGCATTTACACTGAAGCATTAATGCAGCCTGACACCTCTTTAACTGCCAAAACAATGGGATCCTGGAAAATGTAGTTTGGTGAGGCACCAGCTCTCTTGGGCAGAGAAGAGAATCATAGAGTTGGAAGAGACCTCATGAGGCATTCAGTCCAACCCCCTGCCAAGAAGCAGGAACATTGCATTCAAATCACCCCTGACAGATGGCCATCCAGCCATCTGAGGGAGGGAAGAAGGAAGAAAAGAGAGAAGGAAGGATATGATGGTTTATGATACTTAATTTAGTGTTTCTTCTTTCTTTATAGTCTTGTCACATTATAACTGTTTCCATTGTCACAATATATTCCTCCTTCCCCCCCCTCCTTCCCCCTTTCCTCCTTTCCATCTTTCCTTTCTCCTTCCTTCCTTCCTTCCTTCCTTCCTTCCTTCCTTCCTTCCTTTCCTCCTTCCCTTCCTTCCTTCCTTCCTTCCTCCCTTTTTGTCTTTCCTCCCTCCTTCCTCCTTCCCTTCCCCCTTTTCCTTCCTTCCTTTCCTTCCTTCTCTCTTCCTTTCCTTTCCTCTTTCCCCTTCCTTCCCCTCTTTCTCCTCCTTTCCCTTTTATCGTTCCTTGCTCCCTTCCTCCATTCCCTTCCAACCTTTTGTCCTTCCTTCCTTCTCTCTTTCCTTCCTCCTTCCTTCCCTCCCTCCTTTCTTTTCTTCCCTCTTCCCTCTCTCCTTCCCTCTTTTCCTCTTTCTCCTTCCTTCCCTTTTCATCTTTCCTCCCTCCCTTCCTCTATTCCCTTCCAACCTTTTGTCCTTCCTTCCTTCTCTCTTTCCTTCCTCCTTCCTTCCCTCCCTCCTTTCTTTTCTTCCCTCTTCCCTCTCTCCTTCCCTCTTTTCCTCTTTCTCCTTCCTTCCCTTTTCATCTTTCCTCCCTCCCTTCCTCTATTCCCTTCCAACCTTTTGTCCTTCCTTCCTTCTCTCTTTCCTTCCTCCTTCCTTCTCTCCCTCCTTTCTTTCCTTCCCTCTTCCCTCTCTCCTTCCCTCTTTTCCTCTTTCTCCTTCCTTCCCTTTTCATCTTTCCTCCCTCCCTTCCTCTATTCCCTTCCAACCTTTTGTCCTTCCTTCCTTCTCTCTTTCCTTCCTCCTTCCTTCCCTCCCTCCTTTCTTTTCTTCCCTCTTCCCTCTCTCCTTCCCTCTTTTCCTCTTTCTCCTTCCTTCCCTTTTCATCTTTCCTTGCTCCCTTCCTCCATTCCCTTCCTACCTTTTGTCCTTCCTTCCTTCTTTCCCTTTTTTCTTTTCTCCCTCCCTCCATTCTCTTCCACCCTTTTGTCCTTCCTTCCATCCATCCATCCATCCATCCATCCATCCATCCATCCATCCATCCATCCATCCATCATCCATTTATATCTATCATTCTTCTCTATCCTATCTTTGTGTATTTATTATTTATTTATCATGTCATCTCCTTCCATCTTTCTCTTCCTCCCTTTTGTCCTTCCTTCTCTCTTTCCTTCCTCCTCCCTCCCTCCCTCCCTCCTCCATCCATCCATCCAATCCATCCATCCATCACTGGGCAGCCAGTCTTCTTAGCAGGAAGTGCTAGCGTGAAGCCCCCAAAGTTTACCCATGCCAGGTGTAGATGTACCTTATGCCGGTATCCTTAAAATAGCCCTTTGTATTAGAGGTTGAATATCACAAGATTAAATGTGACTTGTGTGCCGGTCTTGTTCTCTCTCCTTGAAGTACATCAGGCAAAATTTGAAGAGAAAATGAAGAGCTTTTCTTTTAAAAGAAGAGAGGAAAATGGAGCAGGGATACTCATCTTGGGTTGTTGTAGGTTTTTTCGGGCTATATGGCCATGTTCTAAAGGCATTCTCTCCTGACATTTCGCCTGCATCTATGGTAAGCATCCTCAGAGGTTGTGAGGTCTGTTGGAACCTGTGTTCCATACCTGTGGAATGACCAGGGTGGGACAAAGAACTCTTGTCTGTTGGAGCTAGGTGTGAATGTTTCAACTGACCACCTTGATTAGCATTTGATGGCCTGGCAGTGCCTGGGGTAATCTTTTGTTGTGAGGTGATTAGATGTCCTTGATTGTTTCCTCTCTGTTGTTTTGCTGTTGTAATTTTAGAGTTTTTTAAAATACTGGGAGCCCGATGGCGCAGTGGGTTAAACCCCTGTGCCGGCAGGACTGAAGACCGACAGGTCGCAGGTTCGAATCCAGGGAGAGGCGGATGAGCTCCCTCTATCAGCTCCAGCTCCTCATGCGGGGACATGAGAGAAGCCTCCCACAAGGATGATAAAAACATCAAAAATCATCCGGGCGTCCCCGGGCAACGTCCTTGCAGACGGCCAATTCTCTCACACCAGAAGCGACTTGCAGTTTCTCAAGTCACTCCTGACACGACAAAAAAAAAGAAAAAGCCAGATTTTGTTCATTTTCATGGCTTCCTCCTTTCTGTTGAAATTGTCCACATGCTTGTGGACAATTGCCCATCTTATTTGGGTATCTGGTAAATGAGGAAAAATGTGCACACGTTTTCCACATATGGGCAAAGCCATTCCAGTTGTGGCAGGCCATCCATGTCCTCTTCCTCATCCCAAATCAATATCAGAGTAATTTCAATGGCAAGGAAGGTCACTTAATTTTCCCCAACATATTAAGACTCCATTAATGCATTTATGTCACTATCCTGTATTTATTTCCTTTGTTTTATTGTTACAGGGTGATTTATTGTCATGCCTGGCATGTTATATTTGTACATCACAAAAACAGCACTTCCAAGTATGCCAAGCAAACAACTACAATTGGCTAAGAAACTTTGAGAATTAAATAGAGGTCAGATCACAAGCCTGTGTAGCTCAAATTTTGTCCTGCTCAAAGCGAATCCAATGGTCAAGCTGTTCAATTCACAATATTAACGTTGCCTTCCAGAGGCAAACCCCCTCTAAATAAATCTTGCCAAGAAAACCCCATGATAGGTTCACCTTAGGGTAGGAATACATTGGAAATGAGTTCCAGACACACAACAACAATCATAGATCGATGATCTGTCCACGGGGACGGCTTTTCTACTTTAAATGTTTTTACTGGTGCCTTTGTTTTTAACCCTGTGAACAAAATCCCATTAAATATGTGTTTTTGATAATTCAGACTATCACTCCCAAAAAAAGCAACAGAAATGTTCATAACCAGTGGGAAGGAGATTCCACATGAACATGAGGAAGAACTTCCTGACTGTGAGAGCTGTTCAGCAGTGGAACTCTCTGCCACAGCCTGTGGTGGAGGTGCCTTCTTTGGATGGCCATCTGTCAGGGGTGCTCTGAATGCAATTTTCCTGCTTCTTGGCAGGGGATTGGACTGGATGGCCCATGAGGTCGCTTCCAACTCTAGGATTCTATGATCAATGTAGGAATGCCGCACTTTGGGAGGATATGTTCCAGGACATTTTCCCATGGATTCCTGAAACTGTGGATAATACTAAACCCTATAATTTGACTGTATTTGGGGAAGACATATACCATAGACTCAGGTTGGAAGATTCAGACAGGACCAAAAAATTATATAGGCGAGAATATTTTTTGTAATGTGGATAAATGAAGCCATGAATATCGAATCACTCGGTAAGTGCATGAGGAAGAACTTCCTAACTGTGAGAGCTGTTCAGCGGTGGTACTCTCTGCCACAGACTGTGGTAGTGACTCCTTCTTTAGATTGCCATCTATACTATACTCACCTTCATCACTTGATTATTTTTCCTTTACAACAAATGACAGGAAAAGACAGTAGATAAACCCTAACTAAATAAAAACCAAAGTTCCTGTCTTTTTTCCTATTTTATTTTAGGAGATCCATACACATTTTGTTTATGACAGAATTATTTTGGGTCAACTGCTGGTATGATCACAGACATTTCATATACCAGCTCCCAAATTGGCTTATGTTAACAAATTGGAAAAGACAGCAGTAACATCTGGGGCACGTCAATCAGTCTGAATGCTGTGCTCATATTTATGGTCTTTGGGTTGCTGCGAGTTTTCTGAGCAGTCTGGCCATATTCCAGAAGCATTCTCTCCTGACATCTCACCCATATCTGTGGCAGGCATCCTCAGAAGTTGTGTGGTCTATATTAACAGTAGGATCACTGTCAAGTCTTTGAAATGTCATTTCTCATGCTGATAATATTCCTGTCTGAAAATGAGACATAGGCATGAAATATGTATTCATCAGGCAGGAGAAGATGAGTTACTCATAACTTTGACAACAAGACTCAAAATCTACTATGTATAAGTATTTCTACGTTTAGTTAATATTTGTTTTTTTTCTACTGTTCATATTTTACACAAAAGTTGTGGCCCATTGTCAACTAACCTCAACTGATAAGAAAAAAAAAGAGTGTTATATTTTTAAAATTCAGAACAAAATAATGTCCGTTCTAGTCCACTCTGCTATAAAATCACAAACCCTTATAATTTAAGGATAGCGTCAAACTCAAATCATTTGTGTTGGGGAACCCTGCAAATAATTCTTAATCTGGGTTGTTGTAGGTTTTTTCGGGCTATATGGCTATGGTCTAGAAGCATTCTCTCCTGATGTTTCGCCTGCATCTGTGGCAAGCATCCTCAGAGGTAATCTTGCCGTAGAGGATGCTTGCCATAGATGCAGGCGAAACGTCAGGAGAGAATGCCTCTAGACCATGGCCATATAGCCCAAAAAAACCTACAACAACCCAGCGATTCCGGCCATGAAAGCCTTCGACAATTCTTGATCTACATTCTCCAGAATTCAGTGAGCACCTGCCATTCAGTTTGGATTCATTTCCTTTAATAGAGTCCTTCCATCTTCAGAGCTCTAAATTCACACTTATGAATGAGGGTCTCCAGAAAGTAAGGTTACAAGATTTTTTTAAAAACAAATGAATATATTTTAATGAAATGTACATGGATTGTAGCATAGGTATTACATTATTTTTCCACATAATCACCATTCAGTTCAATACATTTTGTCATCCTTGGGAAAGTTTTTGATGCCTGTCAAAGAAGTTTCCATCCACCTTTTTCAGCCAGTCCGTCACTTTGATTTTCACCTCATCATTGGAAAAGTGTTTTCCACCCAGTGTTCCTTCAATTTAGTGAACAGATGATAGTCATTGGGTGTGAGATCGGGGCTGTGAGAGGGGTGGCTTAAAACATCCCAACCAAATGATGTCAACAACTCTTGTGTGGCATGAGCGGTGTGCGGACAAGTATTGTTATGAAGGACAGTCTCCCGCTGTCAGCATCCCATGACGTTTGTTTTGGATGACTCTGAAGTTTCTTCACAGTCTCACAATATATTCTGCATCCATTTTGTCTTGACATTACGTCTTCTCCATAAACTTTCACTATGAATTGCAGTGGTGTTCATGTCCTTAGCACTTAGGTAGCACATTGCAGAGTGAACTTTGCACTTGGAGGGAAACTGAATGAGGATGCTCATCTCTAACCTTCACCACAATGCCAGTTGATGAGCTACTGATGACAGGCACTGCTCATTCGCTTCCACTGGCTTCCTGCTACACAGCAGTGATGCCAACTTCTCCTGCGAAAATTCCCCACGAGAGCTACATGCCTTGTAACCTTACTTTCTAGATAACCTTCGTATTATCCAGCATTTAAAAGTTAAGCTTTCCTTGGAATTCCACAAAAGATCATTTATATCATTTTAAGAAAGGAAGATTAGCCATTCTTTTGTGGCATTGCCCAAGTCTGACAAACCAAAAGTTGAAAGATTTGTTAAAAATATTTTTGCTTTCTTCTGGTTATATTTTTAATCTTGGATTATTCAATCTGCATCCTGATTTTGTCCCAAGTGGGTTCAAAGCAGTCTGTGAAAAAACCCATTCTGTAGTATATTTATGAATTCTTTTCCCCACTAATTTGTTTTTCAAAATTTATACTAGTGTGGATGTTTTGTTTAGATTTGTTATTACAGAATTTTGTTTGTCTATGTGTAATTTCATTTACTGATGTCAAGTTTAATTTACTGATGCTAGGTTTTTAATATGATTTTAGATTTTAATGCTACTTTTATATGTGGGGTTTTTCTGGCATTTTATGTCAGTATCATGTATTTGAATGTTTGCCATTGTTATGCTGGAATCCACCCTAAGTCCCCTCAGGGACATGGGGGGGGGGGGGATACATATAAAGTATTATTATTATTGACACAAAAGCACAGTATGTCACAGCAAACGAGATCTCTATGCTGGATTTCGTATCACAAAATCACAAGTCGAACACTTCCCAAGTGTCTAGGACTGTGTGATGTATTTTCGAATGATGCACGCAGATCCAAGTAAGGTGGCCTTTTGCAGTTGACAGATTGTGATTTTGTCAATGTTTATTGTTTCCAAATGCCAGCTGAGATCTTTTGGCACGGCACCCAGTGCGCCAATGACCACTGGGACCACCTGTACTAGTTTATGCCAGAGCCTTTGCAGTTCGATTTTGAGGTCTTGATAGCAGCTGAGTTTTTCCTGGAGTTTTTCCTGTTTTATTATTATTATTATTATTATTATTATTATTATTATTATTATTATTATATAAAACTATTTCAGCCATACATTTATTGTAATCACCCCCACATCCACCTCATCCTTGTTTATAACAAAATTCAAAGATCACTCACCATGAGTACACAACAAAATCAGTCAGAGTTTATAGTTACTATTCCAAAAATTTAGATGAGATTATGGTAGATCTCCTGTGGAGAGATGATCCAGTGTAGTTGATAAATGGGAACAAGATTTCCAAAATGTTTTCTCTTTAATGTCACATAATGTGTCTAGATCATTGGGGGTGGGGGGATGTCAAGGGAAGCCATAAGCTCACTCTATTCTGCTTTGGTCAGACTTCACCAGTTCTAGGCACCACAGTCCAAGAAGGTTATGTTGACAAGGTGGAAAGGGTCCAGAGAAAAGTGACTAAAATGATCAAAAGTCTAGAAAATGTGAATCCCTATGAGGAATGGGTGAAGGAGCTGGGAAAAAAAGAGACCAAGAAGGGATATCACAGACATGTTTAAATATTTGAAAGGATGTCCCATTGTTTTCTGCTGCTCTGGAGACTAGGACACAGAGCAACGGATTCAAATTGCAGGGGAAAAAAGATTCCACCAAAACATTAGGAAGAACTTTCTGACAGGGAGTGTGAGTGTAGAGGAGTCTCCTTCTCTGGCAGTTTTAAGCAGAGGTTGGATGGCCTCTGTTGAGGGTGTCTTGATTCAATGTTCCTGGATGGCAGGGGGTTGGACCTTGGAGTTTCTTCCAGTTCTGTGTGTCCAAGATTTCTCTCTGGATTCATGCAAAGTGAGGCCTGATGCTAGATTATGACTGATACAATTTCCTCCTTGACTTTACCCAAAGGAGTTCCCCCTGTGTGCATGGCTTGATGACGAGTGAGATGCATCTTTCGGCTGAAGCTTTTGCCACACTCCGAGCACTTGAAGGGCTTCTCCCCAGTGTGCGTCACTTGGTGGCGCGTGAGGCCCGTCTTCTGCGTGAAACACTTCCCACACTCCAAGCATTTAAAGGGTTTCTCCCCTGTGTGCGTCGTTTGGTGCCGAACAAGGTCCATCTTCCAACTGAAGCTCTTTCCACACTCCAGGCATTTGAAGGGCCTCTCCCCTGTGTGCATGGCTTGGTGGTGGTTGAGGCTCCTTTTCTGGCTGAAGCACTTTCCACACTCCAAGCATTTATATGGTTTCTCCCCTGAGTGCGTGGCTTGATGGTAGGTGAGGCCCGTCTTCCAACTGAAGCTTTTCCCACACTCCAAGCATTTGAACGGCTTCTCCCCCGTGTGTGTCGCTTGATGGTAAGTGAGGCCCGTCTTCTGAGTGAAGCTCTTCCCACACTCCAAGCATTTAAAGGGTTTCTCCCCTGTGTGAATGGCCTGGTGACGGCTGAGGTCAATCTTCCAACTGAAGCTCTTCCCACACTCCGAGCATTTGTACGGCTTCTCCCCTGAATGCATTACTTGGTGATGAGCGAGATTCCTTTTCTGGCTGAAGCTTTTCCCGCACTCCAAACATTTAAATAGTTTCTCCCCCACATGAATGGCTTGGTGCCGAACCAGGTCCATCTTCCAGTTGAAACTCTTTCCACACTCCAGGCATTTAAATGGTTTCTCTCCAGTGTGCGTGGCTTGGTGATAGGTGAGGCCTGTCTTCCAACGGAAAGTTTTGCCACACTCTGAGCATTCAAATGGTTTCTCTCCGGTATGTGTCGCTTGATGGTATGTGAGGCCCGTCTTCCAACTGAATGTTTTCCCACACTCCAGGCATTTAAATGGTTTCTCTCCAGTGTGCACGGCTTGGTGACAAGAAAGCCCTGCTTTCCGACTGAAACTTTTCCCACACTCCATGCATTTGAATGGTTTTTCCCCGGTGTGCATAGCTTGGTGATGCATAAGGCTGATTTTCCAAAAGAAACTTTTCCCACACTCTGCGCATTCAAATGGTTTCTTCTCAGTGTGAGTCGCCTGGTGATGTGTGAGCTTTCTTTTCTGACTGAAACTTTTCCCACACTCTAAACACTCAAAGGGTTTCTTCTCGGTGTGCGTTGCCTGGTGGTGAATGAGGTTTCTTTTCTGGCTGAACCTTTTCCCACACTCCAAACATTTGAATGGTTTTTCTCCCGTGTGAGTGGCCTGATGACAAGTGAGGCTCCTTTTCTGACTGAACCTCTTCCCACACTCGGAACACTTAAATGGTTTCTGACCAGTGTGGGTCCTTAGATGATCCATCAGGTGTGACCTCCGGCTTAGGCTCTTTCCACACCACAGGCATTTAAATGGTTTCTCCCCTGTGTGGGTCCTTCGGTGTATCATGAGATGCGACCTCCAGACAAAGCTCTTCCCACACTCTGAGCACTTAAAAGGTTTCTCTTTTGAGGGAATCTTCTCATGGGAAATCAGGCATTTCCTGAAGCTGTGGGACTTTCCACGGTCACCACCTTTGGAAGATTTTTCAACTGTGCGGGTTTTCCTGTGACGATTAACACTAGCTTTAGATGTGAAGAGTCCCCTGCATGCAACACAAGGACATTTATTCTTTTCTTTCCCTTTTTGTGTTATTTCTTGATGTGAGATCCCAAATAAGTCACTGATCCAATATGGATCCTCTTCATTGGCATTTTCTTGTCCATCTCCACCTTAAAAGGAGAAAAATAAACAGACATAGCATAAGATAGGAGACTGGAGTCCAAATGGCAAGAGGCCAGGCTTTAGAACTGCAGGTGAACCACCAGCTGCAATAAATCTTGCCAACAGAAAGATTGACAGTTCGAAGCCTGGGTCAGGGTGAGCTCCTGGCCTTTAGCCCAGCTTCTGCCAACCTAGCAGTTTCAAAAACAACGTGAGAAGATTTGCAGTATTTGTATATTTATTTACAGTATTTGTATACCGCTTTTCTCACCCTGAGGGGGACTCGAAGCGGTTTATAAATAGGTACCGTTTAAGCGGGGAGGTATTTAAGGCACCCATAAGGAAATGCCAGAAAAAAGCAGGTGATTTGATCAAGGAGGAAGTTTATGAACAAAGCTCTTCGGCAGGAAAAGTCGAGTGACAGCCGGAACAGAGCACAAGCCTCCAAGATGCCAAAGATGGAAAGCCTACATATTCCTCTATCTATGTACAGTTGTCTAAGTCTTGTCAGTGTGTAACGGCCGTATATGTGTTATGTGATTTGATCTGAGTACCCTCTGGGGTGAGAAGGGTGGAATATAAATACTCTAGTTACTGCTGCCATTTCCCAAGCCAGGCATTCAAAAAAGCTAGGATGGAAGGTAACGGTGCTCCATGCAGTCATGCTGGCCCCATGACCTTGGAGGTGTCTACGGACAACGCTGGCTCTTCAGCTTAGAAATGGAGATGAGCACCACACCCCAGAGTTGGACACAGCTGGACTTCATGTCAGGGGGAAACCTTTACCTTTACCCTTAGGATGGACTAAGCTCTTGCCTTTCACCAATTTACTCAAAGAAGAGGATAATTCCTTTTTGATAAGAGTTACAATGACCTGTGCATTAAGTCTACCCAGGTTTTGGGCAGCTTTGATGACGTTCCCAACCCAGCAATGCATGCTTAGCAGCACGTCTGACACGGTTTTGAATCCTTTCTCGCCACATAGGTTTCCCTCTCTCCTGACAGACTTACTCAAAGAGGATACAAGACCCAAATTCTCATCCATCACTTCCCAGTGAAGGGCCCTCTGGTCTGGATCCAGGAGAGCCCACTCCTCCTCTGTGAAATACACAGCCACATCTTCAAAAGTCACCTGAGGAAAGACACAGTATCCCTGAGCAAAAAAGACCAATCAATCAAAAAAAGAGAGAGAGAGATGTAGCAGAGGACTCCCCAAAGAAAGAAAGAAATTAAATCTTTACATGGCATTGCAGGGCATTTCCTTGACAAAAGCCAAAGAAAACACTGAGACGCAAGGAGGATGTAGATACCCAACACTCCTCTTCTTTGTGTTGTCAAAGGCTTTCATGGCCAGAATCACTGGGTTGCTATGAGTTTTCTGGGCACGAAACAATCAGGGCCAGCTAACAACTCCCAACAAAGGATCCCCCCAGGCAGGGAACAGCCAGGCTTTGAAGCTGCAAGGCCATTAAATGCTAATCATTTATTTATTTATTTACAGCATTTCTACCCCGCCCTTCTCAACCCCCCCAGGGGGGGCTCAGAGCGGCTAACACAGGCAACAATTCAATGCCACAATATCAACAGACAATAATATAAAACCATGAATATATAAAAAATTTAAAAACAGTAACATTAGTTAAATAATCACATCACATAGCCGTTTCCAATTATCATAACAGTTGTATGGTCCAGTTCAAACTCCCTGGTGTTGCTGTGTCCACTAGCCAAAAGCCTGGTTCCAAAACCAGGTGGCCAATTGCAACATTCACACTTGCCTCAAACAGACAAGAGTTATTTCTCCCACCCTGGACATTCCACCCCACTATAAACCACTTGCCTAGTTTCCAATAGACCTCACAACCTCTGAGGATGCCTGCCATAGATGCAGGTGAAACATCAGGAGAGAATGCTTCAAGAACATTCTCATACAGTCCAGAAAACTCACAGCAACCCACTCCTCTTCTTTTCCTAATGAGGATCCAGCCCCTTACCTGATCTGGTCTCACCAAGGCTGCTTTGGGAGCATCACCATGAAGAGATGTGCTTGTATATATTGACCATGTCTTCACTGCATCTCCTGTGAGGAACAGAAGGGGGGGGGGGGGAGCCAATTCACTACATTTCTGATTTCATCATAGCTCTCCACAGAGATGCAAATATAATAATAAATATAATAATAATAATAATATATTATTATTATTATTATTATTATTATTATTATTATTTATATGAAAATATATGCATTCAGAAATTTGAAAAAGATCCAAAACATTTCTGGTCTCGAGCATTTTAGATAAGAGGTATTCAATAATTGGATGCATTTGCCATTTAGGAAGAAGTTTAAACAATAGGGGAAAAAAAGTCTATGAATTGTCAAAGGCTTTAATGGCCTTTGACAATTGTAGGTTTTTTGGGCGATATGGCCATGCTCTAGAAGCATTCTCTCCTGACATTTCGCCTGCACATTCTCAGAGGTTGTGACCTTACATGATGCCTGCCATAGATGCATGCAAAACATCAGGAGAGAATGCTTCTAGAATAGGGGTCCTCAAACTAAGGCCCGAAGGCCGGATACAGCCCTCCAAGGTCATTTACGCAGCCCTAACTCAGGGTCAACCGAAGTCTTGAAAGCACACAACAACAATAAGAACAACAATCCTATCTCATCAGCCAAAAGCAGGCCCACACTTCCCATTGAAATACTAATACGTGTATATTTGTTAAAATTGTTCTTCATTTTAATTATTGCTTTGTTTTTAATTGTTTTTTTTGCACTACAAATAAACTATGTGCAGTGTGCATTCATTCATGTTTTTTTTGTTTTTTTTTCTCCAAATTATAATCTGTTCCTCCAACAGTTTGAGGGACTGTGACCTGGCCCTCTGTTTAAAAAGTTTGAGGACCCCTGTTCTAGAACATGGCCCTACAGCCTGAAAAACCAACAACAACCCAAAAGTCTATGAGTCAAAAGTTTGGTGTCCTGACTCCACACATTAATATGCTGATAGAGAAAGTTTTCTAGACTGTGGGGTATACAGTCCAGGTTCCAAGCTATTCTCTGCCTAGATAATGATCATCTATGAACCATGAATCAATGATGAAACACAGAACCGTCTGGTTACCAGAATACTAACCCACAGAATCACTTCTTCCACTGCTGTTTCTTCCCTTATACACATAACTTCAAAGGTATGATACGGATTGTACATAAAAAATTATATTGCTAGGAGACAGCAAATCAGAAAATCCCACGTCCCACCATCGTTTACCCATTGAACTGGATGTTCCGTCCTCGTTCTGTACAATCCACTTGGTCTTGGGAGAACGGTCCTTCATCTCAGCCACTCTTTCCAAAAACTTCTTCCGCACCAGAAAAAGAAGCAAGATAGGAAATAAAAAGGGAAAAAACAGTTAGAATTTTTTTTTTGTCGTGTCAGGAGCGACCTGAGAAATTGCAAGTCGCTCCTGTTGTGAGAGAATTGGCCGTCTGCAAGGACGCTGCCCAGGGGACGCCCGGATGATTTGATGTTTTTATCATCCTTGTGGGAGGCTTCTCTCATGTCCCCTCATGAGGAGCTGGAGCTGATAGAGGGAGCTCATCCGCCTCTCCCCGGATTTGAACCTTTGACCTGTCGGTCTTCAGTCCTGCCGGCACAAAGCTTTAACCCACTGCGCCACCGGGGGCTGCATTTAGAAATTAAAATAATGGAAAAGGACAAGGTCAAGATAATTCAGGGCGGATCACAGTACATATGATTGGCAAACATTCAATGCTGCTTTGTATAGATAATACACAGACAGACAGAACAGGAGGTGGTTTGTTTCAGCTGTTTTGGGTGCCATGGAAGGTTGGGCTTGAGTCCAAGGGGTGCTGTTGCTCTATCCTCTATGACGAAGAGCCATCAGGACTTCCTCCTTCCTTTTGATTGCCCAGCATTTTCTGATCTTCTTTCTTTATGGCATCGTAAAACACCTCCCCTGCTTTTTAGCGGTACCTAATTTCTCTAATTACAGCTAAAGCTCTTTTCGAATTGCTTAGGTAAACAATGAGCTAGGGTGACAGTTGGCAGCTCACGCCAACCTGGGGTTCGAACTTGCAACTTTTTGGTTGATAGATCTTACAATTGCTGATGATTTACCAGCTGTGCTAAACCTCCGGCCCCAGTTTGTATAACTTCCAGTTCAACGGAGGGAAAGATGGGGCAGTTGTATGCAACTGTCATTAGTATATCCATATATATCCCATTTTTTCCCAGGACTGGGAAAATGTAACATTTTAAGCAGGATTAAAACCAAATTAAAGCAAAAAGTAGAAGTTAAAACAAAAAAAGTTGAAAATGCCAAAAACAACAGCAAAACAGAAATTAAGCCTCTGGTAGAATTAAAGCATATTGGTGAAAAGACAAATTTAATATAATTGAACACCAGATTAATAAAGCCCCTGTACTGTTTCCAGAAGGTAGCTGGAATAAAAATATTTTCATGGGAGGATGGAAGGACTGAAAGGAGAAAGTCAGTCTGACATTCCAAGAGACAGTGTTTCAGAAGTTGGGACAGCCAACAAAAAGTCCTCTCCCATAGCCCCACAAGACATGCCCACATGGCAGCAGGACCTCATTTGGGAGAATATAATCCTTTATGGACTCGAGTCATGGAAAGCCAAAACCAGAACTCTAGATTATTCCTGGAATGAGTCTAGTAATTGAAAGAGCTGCTGCTAACAAGGGAATTGTGTGTTTCTTATCACCAGTCCCAGCTAACAATCTGGACGCAGGTCTTTGGGCCAGCTGTAGTGTCTTAATATTCTTCAAAGGCAGTCCTTATAAATGCCATAAAAAGTATTTCCCCAAGAAATGTTTGTGATCCTCTCTAGTGGTGCATCTACCTTGTAACGTTAATGCAGTTTGACACCACTAAACATTAGCAAGAACTTCCTTTGTTGTTTGACAGTGGAGTATGTTGCTGCCTGGGAGTGTGAGAGTCTCCCTTCCTGAAGGGTTTTAAACAAAGTCTAGGTGCTTGTCTGTTGGAAGGGGTTGAGTCAATGTTCCTGCATGGCAGGAAGTTCCACTGGATAGCCCTTTTGGTCTCTTCCAACTCTATGATTGAAGGATTCTAACTGCAATGGCTAAATGCTATGGAATCATGGGAGTTGTATTTTGGTGAAGTACTAACACTCTTTGGCAAGGACGGATAAAGACCTTGTAAAACTCTCAGGATTCCATAGCATTTTGCAATGGAGTTCAAATGGTGTCAAGATGCATTAATTCTACAATGTAGACACACCTATTCTAGGATATTCTTCCGTTCCAAGCACACAGGTAGTCACTAAGTAGGGTTCACTGTTACTCAGGGTTGAAGGCAGGGGTTCTCAAACTAAGGCCCAAGAGCCAGATACGGCCCTCCAAGGTCATTTACCCGGCCCTCACTCAGGATCAACCTAAGTCTGAAATGACTTGAAAGCACACAACAACAACAACATTCCTATCTCATCAGCCAAAAGCAGGCCCACACTTCCCATTGAAATACTAATTGTTCATTTTAATTATTGTATTGTTTTTAAGTGTTTTTGCACTACAAATAAGATATGTGCAGTGTGCATAGGAATTCATTCTTTTCCCCCCCCTCAAATGATAATCCAGCCCTCCAACAGTTTGAGGGACTGTGACCTGGCCCTCTGTTTAAAGAATTTGAGGACCCCTGGTTTAAGGTATCTATGATACTGGATTGTATCACAACTGAACTAAGGCTTGCGTCACTACAGCCAAATCAAGCACGTCAGAACACATTTCTTTTAGCTGGATGGATGCACAAATGAAAATGCTAGAAATGTAAACATGCAAGCCACAAGCTTTACATTTCAGAGGGAATGTAACCTAACCCAGCATTGGCTAAATCCCAGTTCTCTGATCTGTCACTTGATTGAGCAGGAGTCCTGCTTCCTTCTCTGAATCTCAATTTGTGTTTGCAACACATTTTAAAGTGGGTTGTTGTAGGTTTTTCCGGGCTATATGGCCATGTTCTGGAGGCAATTTTTCTCCTGACGTTTCGCCTGCATCTATGGCAAGCATCCTCAGATAAAACCTAAGAAACCTAAGAACTAAGAAAGAAAAACCTACAACAACCTATGGATTCCGGCCATGAAAACCTTCGACAATACACATTTTAAAGAGATCATAAACCTCTCTCACCTGCCGCTTCGCCTGTTTTATCTCCTCTGCTTGGCTTAAGAGGTAGCCCTCTGCCAAGGACACTGCTAGGGAGCTGATCTCTGCCCCACACTCCCTCACCCAGCTTTTCATCTCCAGGGGAAGGACAGCCAAAAGCTGTTTCAGAACCACCAGGTCCAGGATCTGAGCCTTTGTGTGTCTATTGGGTTTCAGCAACAGATGAAAGAGTATAGAACTGGCTGCAACCGTCTCGAGGCCCCAAAGCCCCTTGGTAGCTAAACTCCCTGCAGTGCTGGCACCGTAGGTCTGAACTGAGCACATTCGCCCCCAGACAATCCTCTGTACTTAATATGAATAGGATGGTGGTCCTTTCCTACCTCACAAACAGCCATGTCTTCCTTTTTAACCTTCATGCTGTTTTCTCTTGCAGTTTCCAACATGGCTGAAGGAATACTTTCTTCTTTTGCCAGATTCATCATCCTGTAAAATCACCGGAAGGACTAAGCCTAAGAAGAAGAAGAAAGGATTCTCTGTGAATGCAGTGTACTGAAAACTTTAATGAAGTAGAGAGCTGCTTCGCAATGAAATCCAAAGTGGAAAAGGCCTCCTTTCTCTCTCTGTGTGTCTATCACTACATATAAAAGTCAAAGTATGATTGTATGTTTCTTAGTTGCTTTGTATCACAACAATTCCTACATGGCTTGATGGTTCTGGACCAAACTTGCTAGGCATCCCCTTTACTATCAAACCACCGGGGAGATTAAGATCCGAGGAGGAGGAGGCTCTGCTCTCTGTCCCGCCTTTGCGTCTACCTGCAGCAGAAATGGGTGTTTCCTTCTCACCTTTTTGCCAGTCAGTGCTGTCATGGCCAGGCCAAGATCAAGACAAAAGGCCCAGCTGCCTGTCTCTCTCTCCCTCGCCGCCTCCTCCTCCTTCTTTTCCCTCAAAACAGAAAAAGGGGCGGGGAAACAACTCCCAGCTGCTACTCCAGCTGCTTAAAGCCGGAAAAGGAAGCTGGTTCTCTCACTAGATATCATTTCCCTTTTTGGGCCCGCCCCTTCCGGTTCTGCGAGCGAGTCTCTTCCCTAGAAGCGGAAGTCGGTGAATGATTACATCTCCCTGACGCGCATGCGTACTCAGCCTCCTTCAGCTGCGTGCTGTCAAACTCTCTAGTTGGGGATGACGTCAACCCTCCGAAGCGCATGCGCATTCAGCCTCCTTGAGCTGCGTGCTGTCAAACTCTCTAGTTGGGGATGACGTCAACCCTCCAAAGCGCATGCGCATTCAGCCTCCTTGAGCTGCGTGCTGTCAAACTCTCTAATTGGGGATGACGTCAACCCTCCGAAGCGCATGCGCACTCAGCCTCCTTGAGCTGCGTGCTGTCAAACTCTCTAGTTGGGGATGACGTCAACACTCCGAAGCGCATGCGCATTCAGCCTCCTTGAGCTGCGTGCTGTCAAACTCTCTAATTGGGGATGACGTCAACCCTCCGAAGCGCATGCGCACTCAGCCTCCTTGAGCTGCGTGCTGTCAAACTCTCTAGTTGGGGATGACGTCAACCCTCCAAAGCGCATGCGCATTCAGCCCCCTTTGAGTTGAAAAGGCCACAGGGAGGAATAAAGGCTTCTGTTGTCCTTCTGTGTCCGTCTCCCCTCCTCACCGCGCATGCGTACAAAGAATTCTTCTCCGATGAGGACTGGGTGCACATGCGCGATAAACTGTGCACCTTCCCACCTTGAGGGGAGCTCGTCTCTCTCCCGTCCCCTGGAAAATCTGGACTATGATCCTTTGGTTCCGCTTGCCTTTTTTGGTTCCGCTTGCCTTTTAAGCTATTATTACTACAAGTTTGAAATCCCTTATCCAAAACACATAGAAAGCTGAGATAGTTAAACAACATGGCCTGAGCTCTGCGAGTGCAGCTGAAATGGTCTTTGCAAATGCTAAGCAAGGGGCTTTGAATAGAATTAACAGCAAAAGAGAAATATACCCTTTCTCTGTAGAAAAGGAGCAACACGGAAGAAAATGTTTTTAAAAAACAAGATGTGACATGTAGAGGTCATACAAAGTTCAAGCCTACATAGGAAGTAGTTGTGTTGTGGTTAAGCCAAAGGTTGTGGTTAAGCGCAGAGTCTGCAGGTACAAGAAGGTACTTTCCATCAAAAGGTCAAGGGAGGGGGGCTGGAAAGAGAGTACTTTCCGTGACTTATTACTTGAGTATAAAGGTCAGCAGAAACAGAGGAGGGGCGCGGCAGTCACTTGAAGGGTAGCATCTGCGTATGCTGCCAGGTTGTCCGTCTTCTTCATGAAGAAACTAAAATAAACCTTGTTTTTTGATCTTTTGGGGGGGGACTGTCTCCTTCCTTACGTGCTCCCGTGATGTGGACCTAAGAAGACCCAATTTAGGGTCTCTAACAATACAGCCAAAGCAAAAAGGGGAAGGTACTTCAGGAGCAGCATTTGGAGATCCTCTTTGAGGGATGTCATCTCTAATTCAATGCCCAGGGCTCAATGCTATGCAATCCTGTGATTTATAGTTTGGGCGAGACATCAGCCTTCTTTGGGAGAGAAGCCTCAAGACTATGTCAAACTGCATCCCCTGGGATTCCATAGCATTGAACCAAGACAATTAAAGTGGATTCATTCTGCAGCATAGATGCATCCCAACATTTTCCTTTCCGTTGCTGAAAGCTTTGTTGCTGTAACATTTTTGTGTTTTAAAGAAAGAATTCTAAGCAGACAGCAACTGCAATGCACACCTTTTTGGCCACATAATAAAGAGTGCACTTTTTGCCACTGCGCTCCATGAAGTCATGCTGCCCACATGACCTTGGAGGTGTCTACGGACAATGCCGACTCTTTGGCTTAGAAATGGAGATGAGTACCAACCCCCAGAGTCGGACACGACTGGACTTAATGTCAGGGGAAAACCTTTACCTTTTTGCCACTGAGTATTACATTGGCCTGAAAATACTTTTTTGGGTTGTTGTAGGTTTCTTTGGGCTATATGGCCATGGTCTAGAGGCATTCTCTCCTGATGTTTTGCCTGCATCTATGGCAAGCATCCTCTGAGGATGATTGCCATAGATGCAGGCAAAATGCCAGGAGAGAATTTATTTATTTATTTATTTACTGCGCTTATATACCGCAATTCTCAGCCCAAGGGCAACTCTAGAATGCCTCTAGAATGCCTCTAGACCATGGCTATATAGCCCGAAAAAACCTACAACAACCCAGTGATTCCAGCCATGAAAGCCTTCGACAATACCTTTTTGGGTTTCAAGGTTTTGAAAATTGAGGTGCACATTAGATTTGATAGTGGACTAGACCCGAGTAAATCTGAGTATTTACGTGGAATCTCTTTCCCTGTAGTTATTTCTTGCTCAACGTCAACATTCTCACCAAATGAAGGCTTGTACAGGTGACACAAACTCATGTCTATTTATTACAAAAGAACTACAAACAATAATGCATGAATTTCCTTTACTTCTGCACCAATGTAATTTCATAGACATTTTCTCCCTGCTGGTCTTCTCTCACCTCTAGACCCTAGGCGCCATGGCCTTTGTCCAAAATGACATGTTGACCTTGCACCTATTTTACGCATTCCCAAATCACTGTGCATGTTTGTGCCTTCAAACGCCTCTCGATTTGTAGCAAACTCCATGAATTTCATAGGGGGTTTTTCGACAAGGAATACTCAGATGTGATTTTATCACTTCTGCTTTATGAAAAATGTTATGTATTAGCAGTCTGCCTTCCAAATACTAACCTGAGCTGACCCAGCATGGCATCCACTATGCTGAACTCATTCAAGTTCAGCTTCCATTTCTTTCTATAACAGCGGTTCTCAACTTGTGGGTCCCCAGATGTTTTGGCCTTCAACTCCCAAAAATCCTAACTGCTGGTAAACTAGCTGGGATTTCTGGGAGTTGTAAGCCAAAACACCTGGGGACCCACAAGTTGAGAACCACCACTCTATAATATTGGAAAGTAGAAAGGAAAGAAAGCATTCTCCAGGGTAGCTGACACTTAAGGAAGCATCAATATACTTGTCTTGGATTTAGGGTGGGCAGGCCACAACGACATGCCGGTTCTTATTCTCATGGTCTGAATGGCTTTCTCCTAGTGGCTTTAAAAATTATTTTAATTCACAATAAGAACAGTTCTTATTTTTATCATATACTGCCCTCCCAATGGGGTTCTAATCATATTTAGTCTGGTTTAGCCACTGCATAGAACATTTCCTTTCTTCTTTGTTTTGCATGGATTTGTTCAGGCTCAGCTGACACTGTAAATACTCATGTATAAATTTAGAAATTTTAGCCAAAATTTCAACCCCCAAAAACCTGGACTGATGTATCCACATGTCAATGTGAATACCCTACTTTGACTCTTATTTTAAAAGGAACGATTCTTTTCTCCGAGTTGAGTGGTGAAAGGCAAGAGCTTAGTTCATCATGGGAAAATGTAAAAGAAAGACCTACCCCATATCGTCTTTCCCCTATGATGCCACTAGTGGTCTTTCTGAATGTCTTGGTGAGGAAATGGCAGCAGCAGCCATTGGCAGCTGACCTTCAATGGCATTATGTCATGTATCATGTTCTACAGTTGATGGTGGTTAGTGGTGGTAGGCCTAACAGTTGGTAATGGAAAGGTTAATGTAAGTCTTAGTTCTAAAGGGTTGAGTAATCTATAAGTAAGAGTTCATGGGTGAAAGCAATTAAGTGGAGGTATGCAAGAGATAGGTTGCAGCTGGGTGTTTCTCAATATAATGAGCTAGCCTTGGGACTGATCTTCGGGAGAAAAGTATTTGTTTATTTTGGTGGTAGATGCTGCTGGTTTCCCCCCATGTTTTTGGATTTTCAGTATCCTGACCTGTCTCCTGTACTCTTGGAACCCTGGAACCTTGAATCTTTAGATTGGCTTTTGACTACGGTATAGACCAGTGGTTCTCAACCTGGGGTCCCCAGATGTTTTTGGCCTACAACTCCCAGAAATCCCAGCCAGTTTACCAGCTGTTAGGATTTCTGGGAGTTGAAGGCCAAAAACATCTGGGGACCCCAGGTTGAGAACCACTGGTATAGACTCTTGTTCCCTGGACTTTGCTTATTGAACTCTCGGTGTTTGACCACTGGACTGGACCTTTTGACTATGGTGTTAACTTGAACCTGCAACAGTGTTTGTTGTCAGTTTTTATTTTATAATCTGTGGCTGAGTGCTATCTTTATGTTTTATATTTTAGACTATTCAAACAGCCAGACAGCAAGTGCTGCTTTAGTTAAATTGTTTAACTCAAACTAGGAGTTTGTTTGGTTCACCTCTGCCGGAATAACGGCGCAGCCCTGGCAACGTGACACATTGCTACTTTCCCCTCTCCACAGAAAGACCCTTGGCTTATACATGAATCATACCAAAATCCACGATTTTGGCCCCAAAACCTGCCCTCAACTTATACATGAGGTTAACTTATACACAAGTATATATGGTAATTACTTTTTTAAAAGTAATTTTTTAAAAGTAATTTTCTTTGCTCTGATTTGATGCTTTTTCTTCCACTACCCCTGAAAGAAATGAAAATGGAGGTGCACAAGCCAGCGAAACCTGGGGAGCAGTTGTACAATAATGGCCCTTTCTGTTTTGTTCTCCCAATAGCTACCATCCAAGGCCTCCACCCAAGTTCAGAGGCAATGTGGGCTCCACATAAGGGACTGAAACCACACTGGCAAACATTTTTGAAAACAATGCAATAGCTGTATTTTGGATCAGGAAACTCAGCGCTGATGGTTTCCACCCAGTGGAACTGGGTAGAAGCTTTTCAGCTGACTTATGCATAAATATACAGTGTTCCCTCACTTATCGCAGGAGATATGTTCCAAGATTGTCATGTATCATGTTCTGCAGTTGATGGTGGTTGGTGATGAGTTAATGTAAGTCTTAGTCCTTAAGCGTTGAGTAATCTGTAAGTAGGAGTTCATGGGTGAAAGCAATTAAGGGTGGAGGTATGCAAGAGATAGGTTGCAGCTGGATGTTTCTGGATACAAGGAGCTAGCCTTGGGACTGATCTTTGGGAGGAAAGTATTTGTCTTACCTTGGTGGTAGATGCTGATGATTTCCCCCCAGGTTTGTGGATTTTCGGTGTCTTGACCTGTCTTATGAACCTTGAATCTTTGGACTGGTTTTTGACTACAGTATAGACTCATGATCCCTGGACTTTGCTTATTGAACTCTCGGTGTTTGACCACTGGACTGGACCTTTTGACTACGGTGTTATCTTGAACCTGCAATGATGTTTGCTGTCAGTTTTTTTATATATTCTGTGGCTGAGTGCTATCTTTATGTTTTATGATTTGGACTATTAAAACAGCCAAGAAGTAAGGGCCGTTTTAATTGAATTGTTTGATACAAACTGGGTGTTTGTTTGATTCACCTCTGCCAGAATAACGGCAGAACCCTGGCATCGTGACAGAATACTTTTCTCCCAAAGATCAGTCCCAAAGCTAGCTCCTTATATCTCTTGCATACCTCCACCCTTAATTGCTTCCACCCAGGAACTCTTACTTACAGATTACTCCACCCTTTAGAACTAAGACTTACATTAACCCTTTCATCACCAACCACCATCAACTGCAGAACATGATACATAAACAAAGACCACCCGCAAAAAGTGAAAATCCGTAGGGACGATATATATATATATATCGAGTTCTAAGGGTGAGGCAGAAGCGAGGAGAGATTTAAAGGCACCACACACTTTTTTTTGTTTGCTATCTCTGCTTTGCTTCGTAATCTCTCTTGATTGGCTGCCTCTCTCCCAAGAGGGAGGGTGAAACCCCTTTCCATCGTTGCCAGGAGGCAGGATTAGAATGCCGCTCTGGGCAACGGCAACTATTCATAAATGGGGAGGCAAAAACCCGCAAAACAGCGAGTCCGCAAGAAGCAAACCGCGAAGTAGCAAGGGAACACTGTACAGTGTTCCCTCGCTACTTTGTGGTTCGCTTTTAGCAGACTCACTGTTTTGCGGTTTTCAAAAGATATTAATTTAAAATGTATTGTAGTGTTTTCGGTTTCATGGGTTTTTGCCGCCGCTGCTCTACGAGTGCTTTCCCTCCTCAGTCCTCACTCCCTCCAGCCTTGAAGGGTCTTTCCTTCCTTTCATTCACTTTATTTTAAATTTATAAAGATTTAAAATAGTGTATAACTACTAAAATAATGCATAAATATTAAAATAAATATAGTGTCCCTACATTGCGGTTTTTCACTTAACAGCGAGTCCGCAAAAAGCGAACCACGAAGTAGCGAGGGAACACTGTACAGTGTTCCCTCGCTACTTTGCGGTTCACTTTTAGCGGACTCGCTGTTTTGCAGTTTTAAAAAAATATTAATTTAAAATCTATATCGCGGTATTTTCAGTGTTTGCCACCGCCGCTCTCCGAGGTGCTTGCCCTCCTCAGTCGTCCCTCCCTCCAGCCTTGAAGGGTCTTTCCTTCCTTTCATTCACTTTATTTTAAATTTATAAAGATTTAAAATAGTGTATAACTACTAAAATAATGTATAAATATTAAAATAAATATAGCGTCCCTACATTGCGGTTTTTCACTTATTGCTGGAGGTCCTGGAACGTAACCCCCGCAATAAGTAAGGGAACACTGTATACGTTAATACGATCTCCCTGCTCTGCCCACCCCAACCAGAAGAGAGCTATGTTTTGGGGACCTCTCCCTCTTTGTGGGTTCTTTTATGGACCACAAGATGTGCGCTGCAAGTAAAACATCTCCCACAAGTGAGGCAGGCATAGGGTTTCTCTCCAGTATGAATTCTCTGGTGTTGCATAAGATGCGCGCTCTGGCTGAAGCTTTTCCCACAAGTCCCACACTTGTATGGCTTCTCGCCCGTGTGGGTCCTTTCGTGCTTCACCACATCCGAACTGGTCGTGAAGCTTTTGCCGCACAGTGAGCATCTGTACGGCTTCTCCCCCGTGTGGATCCTTTTGTGTTTGACCAGGTCTGAACTGGAACGGAAGCTCTTCCCACATGCTGGGCACTTGCAGGGTTTCTCCCCGGTGTGAGTCCTCTCGTGTTGTGTGAGAATCATGCTCTGACTGAAGCTTTTGCCGCAGTAGGAGCATTTGTAAGGTCTCTCCCCTGTGTGGCTTCTCTGGTGCTTCACCAGCCCTGAGTTTGAAGCAAAGCTTTCCCCGCAAGTGAGGCAAGTATAGGGTTTCTCGCCTGTGTGGGTTCTCTCATGCTGGATCAGGTTCGAGCTTCGCTTGAAACTTTTCTCACAAAGAGAGCAATTGTATGGTTTTTCCTCTGTATGAATCTTCTTATGATTGACAAAGTTTGAACTGGTTGTGAACCTTTTACCGCAATCGGGGCACTGATACGGTCTCTCGCCAGTGTGGGTTCTTTGATGAGTCATGAGATGTGCATTGGAACAGAAGCTCTTCCCACACAAGAAACATTTATATGGCTTTTCTGCCGTATGGAAACGTTCATGAACTATAAGATAGGAGCGTTGGTTGAATCGCTTCTCACACACAGAGCACTGGTATGGTTTCTCCCCCGTGTGGATCCTCTCGTGTTTAACAAGATCCGAGCTCTGGTGAAAGCTCCTCCCGCAGTCCGAACATTTGTATGGCTTCTCTCCCGAATGATTCCTTTTCTGGTGGCTGATGAGGCTAGAGATACTGCAGAAACTTTTTCCGCAGTCCGAGCATATATAAGAAGTCCCTTCCACAGAGACACCACCCACCCGTAAATCTGGGATGATCCCTACTGGATCCTCTGTTTGGCATTGAATCTCACAGATTCGTTCTACTTCATGGAATCCGGAAATGTCTTCATCGTTCTCTAGTAATGACTCACATTGTTCCATGCGCTCTGGGCCTTTTGGTTCAGCAATTTCCTCAATTTCGTTCATTTGTCTGCCAATGCCTAAAATATTGAGAGAGAAAAAGGAGAGAGAGAAATCAAAACACAAACCAACCTACCTTCCAGGAATGGGGAGTGTGTAGACCATTGGATGTGATTTGGCTAAAACTTTCCTCATCTCTAATAATAATGATAATAATAATAATAATAAAAGATCACAACCTCAGCTGCTGCAAGAAAATGGTGCAGACAGACTACAAGCAGAGGCATAACTCCTTTGCTCAGAAGATTCATTGGAACTTGTGCCACAGATACCATCTGCCTGCAACAAAAAACTGGTGGGATCACAAGCCGGAAAAAAGTTACCAAGAATGAACACGTCAAACTACTCTAGGACTTCCAAATTCAGACAGAGTTTTGGAGCACAATACTCCTGACCTCACGATCGTGTTAAAAAATAAAGTGTGGATTGTCGATGTTGCAATCCCAGGCGACAGCAGGATTGAAGAGAAACAACTGGAAAAGCTGACACGATATGAGGATTTAAAGATTGAACTGCAAAGACTCTGGCACAAGCCAGTCAAGGTGATCCCAGTGGTGATCGGCACACTGAGTGCAGTGCCTAAAGACCCTGGCCTGCATTTAAACACAATCGGCGCTGACAAAATTACCATCTGCCAGCTGCAGAAGGCGGGAGCCCCCGGTGGCGCAGTGGGTTAAAGCCCTGTGCCGGCAGGACTGAAGACCGACAGGTCGCAGGTTCGAATCCGGGGAGAGGCGGATGAGCTCCCTCTATCAGCTCCAGCTCCTCATGCGGGGACATGAGAGAAGCCTCCCACAAGGATGATAAAACATCAAAATCATCCTGGCGTCCCCTGGGCAACGTCCTTGCAGACGGCCAATTCTCTCACAACAGGATGCTTCTGACACGACAAAAAAAAAAAAAAAGCTGCAGAAAGCCACCTTACTGGAATCTGCACGCATTATTCGCCGATACATCACACAGTCCTAGACACTTGGGAAGTGTCCGATGTATGATCCAATTCAACAGGCAGCAGAGTGTCTGCTGTGGACTCATCTTGTTGTGTTTCAAATAATAATAATAATAATAATAATAATAATAATAATAATAATAGATCACATCCTCAACTGCTGCAAGAAGATCGTGCAAACAGGCTCCAAGCAGAGGCATAACACTGCTGCTTAGATGATTCATTGGAACCTGTGCCACAAATACCATCTGCCTGCGACAAAAAACTGGTGGGATCACAAGCCGGAAAAAGTTACAGAGAATGAACACGTCAAGCTACTCTGGGACTTCTGAATTCAGACAGACAGAGTTTTGGAGCACAAAATCCTGACCTCACAATCATAAAAAAAAAAGTATGGATTGTCGATGTTGCAATCCCAGGTGACAGCAGGATTGAAGAGAAACAACTGGAAAAGCTGACACGATATGAGGATTTAAAGATTGAACTGCAAAGACTCTAGCACAAGCCAGTCAAGGTGATCCCAGTGGTGATCGGCACACTGGGTGCAGTGCCTAAAGACCTTGGCCTGCCCTTAAACACAATCGGTGCTGACAAAATTATCTGCCAGCTGCAGAAGGCCACCTTACTGGGATCTGCACGCATTATTCGCCGATACATCACACAGTCCTAGACACTTGGGAAGTGTCCGACGTATGATCCAATACAACAGCCAGCAGAGTGTCTGCTGTGGAGTCATCTTGTTGTGTTTCAATTTATTTATTTATTTATACCCCGCCACTATCTTTCCTAAGGGGATTCAGGGTGGCTTACATGAGGCCAAGCCCAGCAATACAGCAATGCAAATATACAGCATAAAAATGCAACAATAAAATATAAGAAAATAAGATAAAATACAAGAAACAGTATAAATAAACTCACCAGAACAATATAAAATCACAATATTTGAACACAGAAAGTTGATCACAGTGGGCAGGGCCGGTTGCAGAGATTAAAAGTTTAAAAACACTGGGTGAGAGAGCAATGTAATGTATCTGGACAGGGGATGCAAGGGATGAAGCATGGTTTAATTGCACCAGGATTCTCTCCTCCAGCTAGATACTTTGATATCTCCCAAGATCTCTTGTCACCTTCCTGGCTGTGGTTTTTGAAAGATATTTTTCTTTATTTATGTGTTTATTTTGATGTAATTGGAAGCCCCCGTGGCGCAGTGGGTTAAACCACTGAGCTGCTATACTTGCTGACCAAAAGATCACAGGTTCAAATCCAGGGAGCAGGGTGAACTCCCGCTGTTAACCCCAGCTTCTGCCAACCTAACAGTTCGAAAACATGCAAATGTGAGTAGATTAATAGGTCTGTTGGAAACTAGGAAAAACAGACCTCACAACCTCTGAGGATGCTTGCCATATATGCAGGCGAAACATCAGGAGAGAATGCTTCTAGAACATAGCCATAAAGCCTGAAAAACCTACAACAACCCAGGAAAAATATTGTTTGCAGTAATTTGTATAATAAGAAAATCCAAAATACTCCAAAATTGACCATAGGAGTGCATTTGGGAAATACCTGCAATTCAAAATAAATATTAGATTATTTATAAATAACTTGTTATGGAGGAAGCAAATGCATTTTCTCCCCCACCTTCTTCCTTGGTCTTAGGAAAATTTGAGACATAGCTGCAATTCAGAATAGGTAAATTTTAGGTATAGAAGGGAATCAGATACACTTTCTCCTCCATCTTTGTCCTAGGTCTGCAATCAATTGAGACATATTTACAATTCAGATCTTTGGAAAAGGGGAGGATTTCCCTCTCCCACCCATTGCTGTTCCTTTCCTCTCTGCATTCAAGCAAACCAGAAATACAAAAAATTAAATTAAAAAAGAGGGAAATTAAATTTAGGAAACTCTTCCCCTTTCCACTTGCATTGGACTCACCTTGCTGGAAAGGTGCAGCAAAAACAATGACTTTACAGCTGGAAGATCAATTGCTATTTGCACATTTCCCAAAGGATTTCCCTGCTTTGCTCCACCAATTGAATAGGCAGGAATTGCTGGGGGGAGAGGAAGTAAGGAAGGGGGAAAGGAAAGGAGAGGAAAGGAAGTAGCCGTCCTGCTTTGCAGTCCTCCAAGCCCAGGCTTTGCAAAAAAATAAAAATAAAATAAGATCATGTTTTGCAAAGAGGTCGTTTGGGGGCAGCAGAGGCACACTTGAGATCTGCAACAGTGGGTGCATCTACACGGTAGAATTAATGCAGTTTGGTACCACTTTAGCTGCTGTGGTTCAAGACTGTGGGATCATGGAAGTCGTATAACTGCCTGTATTATTATTATTATTATTATTATTATTATTATTATTATTATTATTATTATTATATTTTATTGTTCTTTTCTTGTTGTTGTTGTTGTCAATAATAATAATAATAATAATAATAATAATAATAATAATAATGTCAGTCATGCGACTTCCATGATCCCACAGTCTTGAACCACAGCAGCTGTTATTAATAACAGCAACAATAATAACAATAAAATAATAATAAAATATTATTATAATAATAATAAAAATGGGAAAAGCTGACATGATATGAGGATTTAAAGATCGAACTGCAACGACTTTGACACAAGCCAGTAAAGGTGGTCCCAGTGGTGATCGGCACACTGGGTGCAGTGCCTAAAGACCTTGGCCTGCACTTAAACACAATTGGCACTGACAAAATTACCATCTGCCAGCTGCAGAAGGCCACCTTACTGGGATCTGCACGCATTATTCGCCGATACATCACACAGTCCTAGACACTTGGGAAGTGTCCGACGTGTGATCCAATTCAACAGCCAGCAGAGTGTCTGCTTGTGGACTCATCTTTTTGTGTTTCAAATAATAATAATAATAATAATAATAATAATAATTATAATTATAATAATAATAATAATAATTATTATTATTATTATATGGAAAAGCTTACACGATATGAGGATTTAAAGACTGAACTGCAAAGACTCTGGCACAAGCCAGTCAAGGGGGTCCCAGTGGTGATCGGCACACTGGGTGCAGTGCCTAAAGACCTTGGCCTGTACTTAAACACAATTGACATTGACAAAATTTACATGTCGATACATCACACAGTCCTAGACACTTGGGAAGTGTCCGACGTGGGATCAAAAGCCAGCATGGTGATCTTTTTTGCTGTGTACTAATCTTGTTGTGCAGGGGTCCTCAAAGTTTTTAAACAGAGGGCCAAGTCACAGTCCCTCAAACTGTTGGAGGGCCAGATTATAATTTGAAAAAAAATATGAATGAATTCCTATGCACACTGCACATATGTCAGTGTGTTAACTGGAAAATGCAAAGCTGATTGATTGGTAGAAACTAGCTGAGCCTAGGAGTTTTGGCAACAGTTACATTTTTTAGATTTTCTGTGCAGGAGCTTAGCAAGACAGTTTATATAGAATCATAGAATCCTAGAGTTGGAAGAGACCTCATGGGCCATCCAGTCCAACCCCCTGCCAAGAAGCAGGAATATTGCATTCAAAGCACCCCCGACAGATGGCCACCCAGCCTATGTTTAAAAGCTTCCAAAGAAGGAGTCTCCACCACACTCGGCGGCAGAGAGTTCCACTGCTGAACGGTTCTCACAGTCAGGAAGTTCAGGTAGAATCTCCTTTTTTTGCTTCTGGGCTGCTGGAAGATCTTTCACGTGGACACCTAAGGACTATTTGAATCTCTGTCAAAGGACATTGTGTGAGTCAATGGAACTGTTCACATGACTGTATATATGTTGCTCTGCATAACAAAGGTTAAACACCTTATTCTTTAACTGATCATCTGCACAGCATATCTTTTCTCTAGCAAGACAGTGTGTGGATTGGTAAAGACATGAACTACACATGATTTTCATTCCGCCACTGTGTTGACTACACTGCTTCATGCTGCATTATATGACACTCTAGATAAGAACCTAGGTTTGTAACGAAAACAAAATTAAATAATTCTCTGCTTAGATGCATTAAAAACATAGAATGGATCTACATTGTAGAATTAATGCAGTTTGGGAAATGCAGTTTCCCAATAGATTTGCAGGGTTTTTCGGAGGTAACGCTGATGGAATCGTTCCAGGATTTGAGTATGACGTCTGTAGACAGTCCACGTTTCGCAGGCGTATAGCAGAATTGGGAGGACAACAGCTTTATAAACAAGCACCTTGGTCTCCCTACAGATGTCCCGATCCTCAAACACTCTCTGCTTCGTTTGGAAAAACACTGCACTCGCAGAGCTCAGGCAGTGTTGCATCTCAGTGTCAATGTTGACTTTTGTGAAGAGGTGGCTGCTAAGGAAATGGAAATGGTCAACATTTTCTAAAGTTATACCATTAAGCTGTATTTTTGGCATTGGAGAGGGATTGGCTGGTGACTGCTGGAAGAGCACTTTGGTTTTCTCGATGTTCAATGACAGGCCAAGCTTCTTGTATGCTTCTGCAAAGGTGTTAAGAGTGGCTTGTAGGTCTTCTTCTGCATGTGCACAGACGACATTGTCATCAGCATACTGGAGTTTTATTACAGATATTGTTGTGACCTTGGTTTTGGCTTTCAGTCTGCTGAGGTTATAGAGCTTCCCATCTGTCCGATAGATGATTTCCACTCCAGTGGGAAGCTTCCCGACAACAAGATGAAGTATCATAGCAATTATCCCCCCCCCCCAATTTCAAATACTTTTAATTAGATATAAAGTGTGTACATCATCGTACCTGTCACTCCTCAATGAGATATCTTGAAGACATTACCCATCTGATCACGACATTCATATATTTTCTTACATTCACCATGTATACATAGCCTGCTTGCAGACCCTTTTATCAAACATATTTGAAGATCCAAAATGATTCAAATAACAGGCTCAGGGACTTGTAAAAACACAAGTCTTATTTTTTTCCATAGCACTGGGCCATGGCAGCTGAAGTGGTATCAAACTGCATTAATTCTACAGTGTAGATGCACCCTCAGATATACAAGAAAGAAACTGCAGGTCTTCCAGTTTTCAGCTGCCACAGTGAAAGTTGGAGCATAGTGGGATTTATAGTTTGCTGACATCTGGAGGGTCACTGGTTGCCAACATCTGTTTTTCCTTTAACCTTTTACTCAAAGAAATAAGCCCTACTAGAAGTGGATAGTGCAACATCCCTCTTAATTAGAAAGATAGATAGATAGGACCGGGCTGTGGTGCAGCTAGTTAGTAGCCAGCTGTATTAAATCATTACTGACTGAGAGCTCATGAGTTTGAAGCCAGACTAGGTTAGTGTGAGCTCCTGACCATTAATAGTCTAGCTTGCTGTTGACCTATGCAGCCTGAAAGATAGTTGCATCTGTCAAGTAGGAAATTTAGGTACCACTTTATGTGGGGAGGCTCATTTAACTAATTTATGACACCATAAAACCTTCCAGCAGCTTGTGTAAGAATGAGGAAGTACTCCATCAAGGACTCGGTGTCACAAGTGGACGGTGAAGAGGCAGCTCCCCCTGTGGCTGGAATCAAGCATGTGCTCATGAAACCGGAAAGCTGGAATGTTAAATTGCCTCTGTGTCTGTCTACATAAGTTGTATGTCTATGGCATTGAATGTTTGCCATGTATATGTGCATTGTAATCCTCCCTGAGTCCCCTGTGGGGTGAGAAGGGCAGAATATAAATACTGTAAATAGATAGATAGATAGATAGATAGATAGATAGATAGATAGGTGTTATTTACTGAGACAAAAATTCTGAGTACTGTTAAAATTATGGTGAGATTTTAAAACAAATTCTGTCCATTTTTTTTAGAGATGATCATTATTGTCATTCTTTGTATGTCTACTTAGAAGTTCCACTGAATTTAATGGCGCTTACTGCCCCACAATGGCTTCAAACTACAGGAAAGGAGGTTCCACCTGAACATGAGGAAGACCTTCCTGACTGTGAGAGCTGTTCAGAAGTGGAACTCTCTGCCCTGGAGTATGGTGGAGGCTCCTTCTTTGGAGGCTTTGAAGCAGAGGCTGGATGGCCATCTGTTGGGGGTGATTTGAAGGCGATTTTCCTGCTCTTGGCAGAATGGGATTGGACTAGATGACCCACGAGGTCTCTTCCAACACTAGGATTCTATGATATTATTAATACAGCACTAATGTATGGCTCAAGGAAGCTGCAAGCAATGTTTCACCATAAATATATTTATTTATATGTTATCATCCAAAACAACTGTCATCCTTATTCACAATTTAGAACAAGAAAACAAAAGTGTGTAGGGGTTCGGAGTGTTGTGTTACAAAACTTGGAGAGAGAAAAAATCAAGGTTCTACTAAAATCTTTCCAAACCTCAATAAATAATATTTTCAAGTCCCTATGTTCAGCATCTAAGGCTAGGAGCACCAGGAGTCATGTTTTCTTGTGGACTCCAACAACCAAAAGCCACAGCCAACATAGCAAGTCAAGGATGATGGCAAAGGTTGACCACACTGCTGTGCTGGCAGACTTAAATATACCCGGAGAGGTGCTCTCTTTAGTTCTTTAAGCACAGTTCTATCGTTATAGTTCTTTCATGTCTCCTCTCAACCTTCTTCTCTCCAAGCCAAATAGACCCGGCTCCTTCAGCCACTCCTCATAGGGCTTGGCTTCCAGACCTTGGACCATTTTGGTTGCCCTTCTTTGGTTGCAATGAAAGATGTGGACAACAGGTATGGTCAGCCAAGGCCATGAGGGATAAAGGACACACACACCCTCACACACAAGGCAGGACAGTGGGATGCCACCACTGTATATTAAATATTTCTTTGCTGCCATCAAATATTTATTAAGGTTTCTTTTGCTGTCACCTTTATTGATTTATAAGCTACCTCTTTCACTGAGCATGTTCAAGACGACACACGAAATCTTCAGGTGAAATAAAACAAGAATATGTAAAATAAAGATGTGTAGTGGTTTCAACAAATTGTCAGGCTTTACTGGGTTGTTGTAGATTTTTCCAGGCTATATGGCCATGTTCTAGAAGCATTTTCTCCTGACGTTTCCCCTGCATCTATGGCAAGCATCCTCAGAGGTAGTGAGGTCTATTGGAACTAGGAAAAAGGGTTTATATATCTGTGGAATGACCAGGGTGGGACAAAGAACTCTTGTCTGCTGGAGCTAGGTGCGAATGTTTCAACTGACCACCTTGATTAGCATTTGATGGCCTGGCAGTGCCTGGGGCAATCTTTTGTTGAGAGGTGATTAGATGTGCCTGATTGTTTACTCTCTGTTGTTTTGCTGTTGTAATTTTAGAGTTTTTTTAATACTGGTAGCCAGATTTTGTTCATTTTCATGGTTTCCTCCTTTCTGTTGAAATTGTCCACATGCTTGTGGATTTCAATGGCTTCTCTGAAACTTTAAAAGAATGTGGACAATTTCAACAAAAAGGAGGAAACCTTGAAAACGAACAAAATCTGGCTACCAGTATTTAAAAAACTCTAAAACCAGGACAGTAAATAAACAACAGGGCGCTCCGTGAAAATGAACAAAATCTGGCTACAAGTATTTAAAAACTCTAAAAGGTGGTCAGTTGAAACATTCACACCTAGCTCCAGCAGACAAGAGTCCTTTGTCCACCCTGGTCATTCCACAGATATATAAACCCCCTTTTTTCCTAGTTCCAACAGACCTCACTACCTCTGAGGATGCTTGCCATAGATGCAGGCGAAACGTCAGGAGAAAATGCCTCTAGAACATGGCCATATAGCCTGGAAAAACCTACAACAACCCAGTGATTCCGGCCATGAAAGCCTTCGACAATACAAGAATATGTAAAGTAAAGTAAAGATGTGTAGTGGTTTCAATAAATTGTCAGACTTTACTTTTACAGAGAATGGTCTTATAACTCCAGTTTCTTAAAACAAAGTTCCACACACAGGAATACAAACAGGATATTTTGAACCTTTTGAATCCTCTTTCCACACCAGCACTCTGAACACTATAGAGGCCTACTATATTTATTACTCCTTCTCCTTGAAGGGTCTAACTATCTTCCTCAAAGAGGTATCTTTTAACAACAGTTCCCAAATTCCTAACTGACAAGACTCTGGCTGCATTAGCTCTTACTTTTCCCTCTGGCTCTGTTCACCTCCAGTTGCTAAACACACCCTCCAATTTCATCAGCTAATCAGACTGCTCTTCCAGCTATGAAGCTCTCTGATCACTCCACCCCCTGCTCTCCTTAGCTTTTCCAAAGCAGGTCTGTTTACTGCCCTTACACCAACCCTGTAAGGTAAGCTAATCTGTTACACCCTTCTCTAGACATGTTCCATCTTTTCAATATCCTTCTTGAATTGTGCTGCCCTGGTAGGATCGTAGTTGGAAGAGACCCCAAGGGTCCAACCCTTGCAAGAATAGACAATCAAAGCCCTGCCGACAGATCTGATGTGGTAGAAGCCAACTGTGTGCACACAAAAGAGAATCAATGTCCACACTTGCTACCGTGATGCCCACCTTTGCTACACATTCTCTCTCATGTGGATTTTCTTATGTTTCGTGAGAGCCGGCCTCTCCCTGAAGCTCCTCTCGCAGACCAAGCACTTGTAGGGCTTCTCCCCTGTGTGGATTCTCAGGTGTGCCATGAGCAGCGCAGTCCGGGTGAAGCTTTTGCCACAGATGGAACACGTGTATGGTTTCTCTCCGGTGTGTACCCTCCGATGCACAATAAGGTTTGAGTGCTGGCTGAAGCCCTTCCCGCAGTCCGAACAGGTGTACGGCTTCTCCCCAGTGTGGGACCTCACGTGGTCGGTGAGCGCCGAGCTCCGGTGGAAGCTCTTCCCGCACTCCAAGCACTTATAGGGCTTCTCTCCCAGGTGGATTTTCTCATGCTGATGCAAACCAGAGCTCCAGATAAAGCTTTTGTCACAGTAGGAGCACGAATACGCTTTCTCACCCGTGTGGATCCTTTGGTGCCCCAGCAGGCAGGAGCCCTGCGTGAAACTTTTTCCACAGTCCAAACACTTGTATGGCTTCTCTCCAGTGTGGATCCTCAGGTGTCTGTTCAGGTGGGAAATTTGGTGGAAGCGTTTCCCACACTCAGAGCATTTGTGTGGTTTCAAGCCAATTGCGGGAGGCTTCCCCCTTTCAGCAACACCTGTATCAGCTTCAAAGTCTGCCCCACAGTCTTCTGGAAGCTCCTCTTCCATAGAGCTTTTCACTTCCGAAGGTTTTGCACTTTCCCTTGATTGTTTGTGATCTGATGGAACAAAAAAAAAGAGAACCGAGAGTTGACTTGGGCCCTTTTACACAGCTGAAAAAAATCTCACATTATCTGCTTTGAACAGGAATATATGGCAGTGTTGGAGCCCCCAGTGGCACAGCGGATTAAACCGCTGAGCTGCTAAACTTGTTGACTGAAAGGTCGCAGGTTCGAATCCGGGGAGCGGCGTAAGCTTCTGCTGTTGGCCCCAGCTTCTGCCAACCTAGCAGTTCAAAAACATGCAAATGTGAGTAAATCAATAGGTACCACTCCAGCGGGAAAGTAACAGCACTCCATGCAGGTAGGCTGTTAGGAATGGTGGGAGCTGAAGTCCAAAACACCTGGACGGCCCAAATTTGCCCATGCCTGATCTACACTGAAGAATGAAAGCACTCTGACACCACTTCAACTGCCATGGTTCAATACCATGGAATCCTGGGAGCTATATGTCGAAACACCAGCACTCATTAGCAATTAAATGAGGTCAAACCACATTCATTCTACAGTGTATTTTTTTCGTGTCAGGAGTGACTTGAGAAACTGCAAGTCGCTTCTGGTGTGAGAGAATTGGCCGTCTGCAAGGACGTTGCCCAGGGGACACCAGGATGTTTTGATGTTTTACCATCCTTGTGGGAGGCTTCTCTCATGTCCCCGCATGAGGAGCTGGAGCTGACAGAGGGAGTTCATCCGCGCTCGCCCCGGATTTGAACCTGCAACCTTCAGTCCTGCCGGCACAAGGGTTTAACCCACTGCGCCACCGGGGGCTCCTTCTACAGTGTAGATGCATCCCTAGAAATTCCTAAAGTGGTATTTTCTCAAGTAAAAAAAAAACAACACATTTTTATTTGCAGTTTTTCTATTTTCATGGTAAACTTGTGTTTCGAAACCACATGGAAATGGAGGGCCTAATATAGCTAAAGTAATCCAACCAGGTACTGAATATGGAAATTCTCATCAGTTGGGAGCTAGACCTTTCGTAGAGACCTCTTCTTAAATGTTCATTGCATCTTTAAGTCTGTTTTAATCATTGTGCTTGTTCTGTGTTTTAACTAGATTGCCACACTTTTTCTTATTATTGATGTGCGCTTCTCTGTTTTGGGATAAGCACAGGATGAAAATCTAATTAACCAATGTTGGGTTTTTGATGTTCCCTGTTAGAAATCAGCAAAGCTCCAGCCAGGCTAGGAAACGGGTCATAAACACTACTTACTGAACAAATGGGCATCTCGGTCCTTCTTCTGCTTGCTCTCTTTGTGGGCACCAAGGATGGGTTCTATTGTAGTAGAGGAATAAAGTCCCACTTCTGCCAATAGGCCAGATACCTGAAATAACAGCAAAAGCATAATAAATACACAGTGAGAATGTTAGGGTTATATAATGTTGAGTGTCCTGCTCTGCATACTGCAAAAACTTTGATATAATGCTCTGGAAAGCTCACATTATTTAGTTCACACTTTTATCCCCCTCTTTTCAGCCCGGAGGTGACAGGGAGGTGTATAGACTGGCAATAATTAGATGCCAAACACACATGAATACATGTTAAATCAGATAATAAAATTCATATAAAAACAATTCAAAACTATTTTTATTTAAAACTATAAAAATCAATGACTTCCAGGTTTAAATCCATGTCCATTTGCATTGTTAAGCCATTCCATATGCGTTCACAATACTGAGTTTATCTGGCTACAATGAGGTTCCAAAAGCTTGCTCGAAGAGCCAGGTTTTCACTCTTTTCCTAAAATTCAGGAGGGAGTGGGCCGATCCAATATTCCCCAGGAAGGGAGTGCCTCAGCCGAGGGGCCACCACTGAGAAGGCCCTGGTTTTAAACCACTTCATTGGATGTGTTGCAATAGCAGATTCCTAGATTAGTTTAGTGTTTACACCTTATTTTATTTTTCTGGTTATTTAATATTTAATGTTTATTTTAAAGGTAAAGGTAGTCCCCTGACATTAAGTCCAGACATGTCTGACTCTGGGGTGTGGTGCTCATCTCCATTTCTAAGCCGAAGAGCCAGCGTTGTCCGTAGACACCTCCAAGGTCATGTGGCCAGCATGACTGCATGGAGCGCTGTTACCTTCCCGCCGGAGCGGTACCTATTGATCTACTCACATTTGCATGTTTTTGAACTGCTAGGTTGGCAGAAGCTAGGGCTGACAGCGGAAGCTCACGCCGCTCCCCGGAATCGAACCTGCGACCTTTCGATCAACAAGCTCAGCAGCTCAGTGCTTTAACCCACTCCGCCACCGGGGGCTCCATGTTTATTTTACTTAAGTGATATTTGTCTTTACTGTTGTAATGTAGCACAAATCCTATGTAAAATCATACTACGTATATTTGACATTACTATTGAAATGTGAAATATTACAGAAAGTCTTACCATTAGTTTGGTCCTCCAGGTGTTTTGGATTTCAGTTCCCATGCTTAGGGATTCTGACAGATAGAACTCAACACATCTAGAGGACCAAATGCGGGAAACATCTAAAGGTGCATCTACAGCAGAGTTTCTCAAGCTTCCTAATGTATCACTGGACCAAATTTGGCACAAATATCCAATACGCCAAAATTTGAATACTGGTGGGGTTGGGCAGGGTTGATGTTGTCATTTGGGAGTTGTAGTCACTGGGATTGATAGTTCGCCTACATTCAAAGAGCATTCTGAAATCCAACAACAATGGAATTCGACCAAACTTGGCATACAGGACTCCCATGACCAACAGAAAATACTGGAGAGCACTGTGAACTCAAAAGAGAGGGATAGGCCTATACAAAATATCAACCCTCACCACTTTTTCCATATGTTGCAAGGGCAACAAGGACTCCAAATCGCTCTCTCCTGCTCCAAGATCCTCAGGGTCCTCAGGGTCCTCTCTCAGCGGCTCTTCCTGCCGCATCAGGAACTCCTCTGCCAGGGCCACAGCTTGGGTGCAGGTCTCCGGCACATGTTCCCTCACCCAGCCCTGGATCTCCAGTGGCAAGATGGCCAGGAACTGCTCCAGGATCAGCAGCTCCAGGATCTGCTCCTTGGTGCTTCTCTCTGGTTTCAACCACTGAGAGCAGAGGAACCAGAGCTGGCTGCACACCTTCCGGGGCCCCTCGGCTTCCAAGTAGCAAAACTGCCGGAATTGCTGCCGGCACGTCTCCACACTGATCGTATCTGAATCCAGAAACGCTGTTTGCTCTGCTTTCTCGCAGTTGACCTCTTCTTTGCCATCCATACCTCGAACATCCCTGCCAAAGATGGGCAACGGTTGGATCATGTGCTGTGTTCCAGACTGGCGACTAGCATTAGCCGTCTGTTGGAAGTTGTTCGGCAAAGTCTCGTTGTGGTGCCAGGAAGAGGTTTTGGAGTTTGGAGAGTCCCCCCACCTTGAATGGAAGGGTTGTCCCTGCTTTGGGAAATCCTCCCATGGGGTTTCCCACTGCTGGGTTAAACCATCCTCTTCTTCTTTGATCGGCGGAGATGCCATTTTGGTCACGTTCCCAGTTTGGATGCTGGGAGAAGATCTGCACCTTCCATCTGATTCATCTTCAGTTTTGGGGCTTAGAATGGCTTTCTCCATCCTGAGTCTTCTTGATTGCAACTCAAAGGGAAGGGAGTTTCCCAGAATCTTTTGCTTGGTGGTCATCTTCTCCAGGGCCGAGAAAATTAAATTTCAGGCTCAAGGTGCAATGTTTGATTTTCCACCTTCCCCTCTTCCTTTCACTATTTCCTTGTCGCAACACTCTTTTGGCAAATATCATATATGTGAATTTACAATCTAGAGGTGCCAGTAAATTCCATCAGACACAGAGATGCGAGTCCAGATAAAAATAATACATATATAGATGATGACAGATATTCATGGGGGAGAAACTGACCTAAAAGTGGAAGGAAATATAAAGAATGAGACATCAAGTATACAAAACCGAAACACCTGTTTATCACGGTATGGCCCCTATAGCCATGGGACCAACAACATGAAAGTAAAGGCTTTCCCCTGACATTAATTCCAGTTGTGTACGAATCTGGGGATTGGTGCTCATCTCCATTTCTAAACTGAAGAGCCTGTGTTGTCCATAGACACCTCCAAGTCATGTGGCTGACATGACTGTATGTAGCACAGTTACCCTCCCACCGGAGCAGTACCTTTTGATTGACTCACATTTGCTAGGTTGGCCGAAGCTGTGCCAAACTACCAGTATTTAAAAACTCTAGAATCAGGACAGTAAATAAAGAGCCACACTCAGAAAAGAGAGGAATTCCAGACAAGAAACAATCAAGGCCAGCTAATCACTTCCCAACAAAGGTTTCCCCCAGGCAGTAAACATAGAACATTCGAAAAATAGAGGAATTCCAGTTAGGAAACAATCAAGGCCAGCTAACACATCCCAACAAAGAATTCCCCTGACCTCACAACCTCTGAGGATGCTTGCCATAGATGCAGGCGAAACGTCAGGAGAGAATATTTCTAGAACATGGCCATATAGCCTGAAAAACCTACAACAACCCAGATTCCTCTGTTGTTGTTTTTAAGTGTTGCTCTTTATTTACTGTCCTGATTTTAAAGTTTTTAATACTGGTAGGCAGATTTTGTTCATTTTCATGGTTTCCAGACAGGAAACAATCCAGGCCAGCTAACACCTCTCAACAAAGGATCCCCCCAGGCAAGAAGCAGCCAGGCTTTGAAGCTGCAAGGCCATTCAATGCTAATCAAGCTGGCCAATTGCAACATTCACACTTGCCTCAAACAGACAAGAGTTCTTTTCCTCACCCTGGACATCCCACAGATATATAAATCCCACTTGCCTAGTTTCCAACAAACCTCACAACCTTTGAGGATACCCTGCCATAGATGTGGGTGAAACATCAGGAGAGAATGCTTCTACAACATGGCCAGACAACCTGGAAAACTCACAGCTACCCAACAACAAACATTTTTCCTAAAGGTATTCAAGATACTTAAATAGTAAAGGTAAAGGTTTTCCCCTGACATGAAGTCCAGTCGTGTCCGACCCTGGAGGTTGGTGCTCATCTCCATTTCTAAGCCGATTTTTTTGTTGTTTTTTTTTTGTCGTGTCAGGAGCAAGTCGCTTCTGGTGTGAGAGAATTGGCCGTCTGCAAGGACATTGCCCAGGGGATACCCGGATGATTTGATGTTTTTATCATCCTTGTGGGAGGCTTCTCTCATGTCCCCGCATGAGGAGATGGAGCTGATAGAGGGAGCTCATCCGCCTCTCCCTGGATTCGAACCTGCGACCTGTCGGTCTTCAGTCCTGCCGGCACAGGGCTTTAACCCACTGTGTATTCAATAGGGTGTAGCCATGAGAGTTAAAGTGGGTAAAAAGGTAAATGTTGTCCCCTGACATTAAGTCCAGTCGTGTCCGACTCTGGGGGTTGGTGCTCATCTCCATTTCTAAGCCGAAGAGCCGGTATTGTCCATAGACACCTCCAAGGTCATGTGGCCGGCATGACTGCATGGAGCGCCATTACCTTCCCGCCGGAGTGGTACCTATTGATCTACTCACATTTGCATGTTTTTGAACTGCCAGGTTGGCAGAAGCTGGGGCTGACAGCGGAAGCTCACGCTTCCATAAAGATCTGCCAAATAATGCTGACCTATTATCTATGTTTTTAAAAAGTCAATTTCAGGACCCTGTGGTGCATCTACACTACGGAAAGAATGCAGTTTGACACCCCTTTTACTGGCATGGCTCAGTGCTATGAAACCCTGGGAATTTTAGTTTTACAAGGTCTTGAGCTTTCTATCCCAGACCCAGGTCACCCAGTTAAAGGGGTGTCAAACTGTATTCCTTTTACAGAGGAGATGCACCTTTGTCATTTTGTGTGACTTGCATGCTCAATAGAAAACCTCATCACTATTTATTAGGGGGAGGGAAAATGAGACATGAGAAATACAGCAGCTTGGGATGCCAAGGTGGAATCAATCCAAATACTGGAGGGGAGGATCCTATTTCAGTGAACCCTGGGAAAGCCACCCTCCAAAAAGAAAAATACTCACCCCAGCTTCAGATCTGCAATACATAAAGGCATCTTTGCAACAATAGGTGCAGGCTGCATAGGCTTGGCTAGGAATGGGAGCAGGAAGGGACCTGGCTGCCTTGGCAAGCCCCCACCCTCTGCAAAGCAAGTGGCTCTCTCTCTCTGAGGCTCAGAGCTCTATGGCTTTAACTCTTCAGATCTAGTCCTGGAAGGGTCCTTTCCTTTTTCTTAGATCAAGAGTCAGTCAGGGGAGATACAATTGCATTAGATCAAGAGTCAGGGAGATACAGTTGCATGTATCTTAGTAGGCTCATTCCTGCATCTGGCTGGGGTTGCATCTGTATCAGGCATGGGCCAACTTGGGCCCTCCAGGTGTTTTGGACTCCAACTCCCACCATTCCTAACAGCCTCCTCCCCCCCCCCCCCCCCCCCCCCCCCCCCCCCCCCGATGCATCTCAGATATATATTACAAAGGGAGATAGGGAACCAGGCATTTCCTTCTATGTCTCGAAGGGTTAAAATCACAGCAACCCATTTTGTTTTTCCTTCCTAGAGAGGCCAGGAAAGGGGAAACCTTCCTTTTCCACCCCTTCAAGGTTTGCATGACGAATTCCTTTTGCTAGAATGAGAGGGAAAATTGGAGGATTGCAAAGGGGGAAATTGCAAAGAGCAGGAAGGATACAAATGGAGGGTGAGTGGGGAGATGGGCTGTTCTGGGAACAAGGGATTTGGGGCATGAAAGGGGGGAAACAGTGGGAGGAGGTCCAAGGTTGTGCCATGGAAGTGTGCAGTTGGTGCAATTTCACACCACTTTTAACTACCTCGGCTCAATGCTATGGAACCCAGGGATCTGAAGTTTGGTGAAGCACCAGAACCATTTGGCAGAAAAAGGTTATCTGTAATGGGCTGTTGTAGGTTTTTTCGGGCTATGTGGCCATGTTCTAGAGGCATTCTCTCCTGACGTTTCGCCTGCATCTATGGCAGACATCCTCAGAGGATGTCTGCCATAGAGGCAGGCGAAACGTCAGGAGAGAATGCCTCTAGAACATGGCCGTATAGCCTGAAAAAACCTACAACAGCCCAGTGATTCCGGCCATGAAAGCCTTCGACAATACTTTATCTGTAATTGAAGGCTTTCATGGCTAGAATCACTGGGTTGTAGGTTTTTTGGGCTGTATGGCTATGTTCTAGAAGCATTCTCTCCTGAGGTTTCGCCTGCATCTGTGACCTCACTACCTCTGAGGATGCCTGCCACAGATGCAGGCAAAACGTCAGGAGAGAATGCCTCTAGAACATGGCCATATAGCCTGAAAAAACCTACAACAGCCCAGTGATTCCAGCCATGAAAGCCTTCAACAATACGTTATCTGTAATCGAAGGCTTTCATGGCCAGAATCACTGGGTTGTAGGTTTTTCCGGCTGTCTTGCCATGTTCTAGAAGCATTCCCTCCTGAGGTTTCACCTGCATCTGTGACCTCACAACCTCTGAGGATGCCTGCCACAGATGCAGGCAAAACGTCAGGAGAGAATGCTTCTAGAACATGGCCGTACAGCCTGAAAAACTTACAACAACCCAGTGATTCCGGCCACGAAAGCCATCAACATTACAGATAATCTTTTTCAGCCAAATAGTTCTGGTGCCTCACCAAATGACAGAGTTGTTGTTGTTGTTATTATTATTATTATTATTATTTACCATACTTGTATCCTACCTTTCTCAACCCCAAAGGGGACTCAAGGCAGCCTTACAAAGGCAACAATTCAATGCTGCATGTATACATACATCAATGAATAAACAAAAACATTAAAACCAACAGATTAAAACATAACATTAAAACAACAATTAAAATCACATATGGTTTTGTGCAGCTACTAAAAAGGATTGAGCCTGCTTAACTTCAAATATCAGGTGTGATTTATTTATTTATTTACTGTACTTGTATACCCTTTCTCAGCCTGTCGGCGACTCAAGGCGGTTTACAACAAATCAGTTCACATAATATCATAATACAAATTAAAACATTAAAAACAATATAAAAACCACAACAGAAGCAATAAAAACCAACATTATTAGCATCTCCTTGTTAAAAACATTATCCAATTCCATCGTCTAGTCATTCGGTTTCCTACGTCAGTTAACCTGCATTTGTGAACACTTGCTCAATCAACCATGTTTTAACTTTTCCCCGAAATGTTAAGAGGAGGGGAGCTGATCTAATATCCTTAGTGAGGGTGGTCTACAGCCAAGGGGCCACCACCGAGAAGGCCTTGCCTCTCGTCCCCACTAACCATACTTGTGATAAAGGCAGGATCGAGAGCAGGGCCTGTGCGGGTGATCTTAATGTCCCAGCAGGTTCATAAGAGGAGATGCGTTCGGACAGGTAGATTGGGCCAGAACAGTTTAGGGTTTTATAGGCTAAAGCCAGCACTTTGAATTGTGCCCGGTAGCAGACTGGCAGCCAGTGGAGCTGTCTCAACAGAGGAGTTGTATGCTCCCTGAGCACCGCTCCTGTTAACAACCTGGCTGCCGCCCGTTGCACCATTTGAAGCTTCAGGACAGTCTTCAAAGGCAACCCCATGTAGAGCGCGTGGCAGTAAGTCTATTCGGGATGTAACCAGAGCGTGGACTACCATGGATTTGGAGTCTTCATGTACTGACTTTTAATATAATTTAATTCTAGGAATCGAACACTGCTTTAAAGTTTCCCTTTCCTTCCTCTTTTTCTTTCAGCCAGAAGTCCTAATTGCCAGCCTAGAATGATCAAAGTTGTGCTCTAAGAAAGAAAAGAAAAAGGGAAAACCCAGTCTCCTCAGTTTTGTTCCTAAGAGAATGCCAGTGTGTCCTGATCCAAACACAGCCACCCTGAGAGCCAGACTGTTTCTTTCAAGGTTGTGAGCCATAGCCATTGAAATCCACAGTTGGGGCCAGTCCAAAGTGAAATGGCCACCAAGGAAGTTGCAGCATTGCCGGCTCCGCTGAGCCTCCGTTTCCGAGTTGTGCTTGACCAGCAGCAGGGAATCAAAATGGAGTCACGGGACCTTATGGACACTGACACGGAGATCCAAGCAGTGTGCATTGGCGAGACACTGGGATGGGCACCAGAATTTGAGCAGCGACCAGAAAAAGTGGATTGGGAAGTCCAAGAGAAACATGTGTTCCTAAAAGTGACAGAATCCCCTCATTCGGGATGCGGGAACCTGCCACCCACAGGGTCTGACACCAGCGTTTTCCCAGCATCTTTTGAGGACATGGCTAAGGCTTGCAAATGGCTGACCAAGGAATGTAGTATCCAGCAGGCACCGATCCTTGGTGGGGAAAAGGAGTGGACACCTGGAGGGTCCAGAATGAGGAAAGACCCCTCAAAGGGGAAGGATGCTCCTTTTCTGAAAGGAGCAGAGGCGCAAAGGCAGAAATTCCGGCATTTTGCTTGCCCTGAAGTTGGAGGGTTATGCGAAGTCTACATCCAACTTCGGGACCTCTGCTGCCAGTGGCTGAAGCCGGAGCGACGCAGCAAGGAGGAGATCCTGGAGTTGGTGATCCTGGAGCAATTCCTGACTATCCTTCCTGAGAAAGTGCAAAGCTGGGTCCGGGCCCAAGACCCCGAGAGCTGTGCCCATGTAATCCTGCTGGCGGAGGATTTCCTAAGGAGACAGCGAGAGGCCAAACAATGGGAGCAAGAATGGGAACAGGTAGCTAGATCTGAGCAGGAAGGTTTTGGGGTCCGAAAGGCGAATTGTTGGAGGAAGAATCTAAAGACACAGGGTGCACTGACACAGTAGAGTTAATGTAATTTGACACCACTTTAACTGCCATGGCTGAATGGTATGGAATCATGGGAGATGTAGTTTTATAAGGTCTTTTCTGGCAAAGAGTGCAGGTGCCTCATGATTCCATAGCATTGAGCCAAGGCAGTTAAAATGGTGTCAAACTGCATTACAATGTTCCCTCACTTATCGCTGGGGTTACTTTCCAGGAACACCCACAATAAGTGAAAATCCGCGAAGTAAGGATGCCATATTAATTGTAATATTTATACATTGTACAGTGTTCCCTCACTTATTGCTGGGGTTACGTTCCAGGACCTCCCACAATAAGTGAAAAACCACAATATAGGGATGCTCTATTTATTTTAATATTTTCACATTATTTTAGTAGTTATGCACTATTTTAAGTCTTTATAAACTTAAAATAAAGTGAAGGAAAGGAAGGAAAGGCCCTTCAAGGCTGGAGGGAGGGAGGACTGAGGAGGGAAAGCGCCTTGGAGAGTGGCAGCGGCAAAACCCCACAAAAAAGCCTTCAAATACCATGATATATATTTTAAATTAATATTTTTTTAAATCCGCGAGTCCGCAATAAGCGAACTGCAAAGTAGCAAGAGAACTCTGTATAAGCACATGTATAAGAAGCATGCATGCGCAGTCTAGCCCTTGTGCTTCCCGTTGTAACATAAATATTTGATATTAATGTTTATTTAAAAAAAACAGTGAAGCAGCGAGTCCGCATAAAGTGAACCACAAAGTATTGAGGGAACACTAATTCTACAGAGTATATGCACCCATAGTTATGAAAAGAGATCTTGTAGTGTCTTTGAGGCTGAAGGAAATAACTAATTTCCTAAGCTTTCATGGACTTAAGTCTGAGATGCATGGAATTCAGAAAATATAGATGCCCAATCAAATAGTTTATTGTATAAGCCCAAGGCCATGACAAAAAGGTACAAGTATGCGGTGCACAGAATAGTACCCTTGAAGCAAAAGGAAAGCAAAATATAAACAAAAGCCAACTTCATGTTCACACAAATAGCAAAAAAAAAAAGTGAATTATCTAAGGCTTTCATGGACAGAGTCACTGTGTTGCTGTGAGTTTTCCGGGCTGTATGGCTATGTTCCAGAAGCATTCTCTATTGATGTTTCGCCCACATCTATGGCAGGCATCCTCAGAGGTTGAAGGATCTGTTGGAAACTAGGCAAGTGGGGTCTATATATCTGTGGAATGATGTTCAAGGTGGGAGAAAGAACTCTTGTCTACTTGAGGAAAGTGTGAATGTTGCAATTGGCCACCTTGATTAGCATTTTATGTCCTAGTAGCTTCAAAGCCTGGCTGATTGCTGCCTGGGGGATCCTTTGTAAAATCAGGACAGTAAATAAAGAGCAACATTTTTTAAAAAAAGGGAAATTCCAGATAAGAATCAATCAGGGCTAGCTAACACTTTCCAACAAAGGATTCCCCCAAGCAGG